AACTGCCTGAGCTACTATAGCCTAGCTAAGCCAGTGCACGGTGCGAGCGTTACACCATTGGTGCTTACATCACTGCTCGACACTGGAGATGCACACTCGGCAGATGCAGCAAGCCTGCAGCAAACAATTGATGACCACATCGCTCAAGGAGATCTTGACGTGATAGAAAGCGCTGCCTGCCATGACAGTATTGCTGCCCCAACTGAGCATTACAACCTTGTGGGAAAAAAAGTGACTCTCGCCTAGCATATTACATGGCTGGATATGTTGCTAGAAAGTGTGTGCAGAAGTGAGGATGCACTGCTTGTCGTACTTCACTGCTTGTTCCAGCTTCAGAAGGGAAGGAACATGAGTGTTCGGCTTTTACGAACTTTTGCGACAAAGGTGGTTTGTTGTACCCGTCTAAGGAGCTGTTTGACTTCGTTAGCTATTTAGAAGACACATTTACAGACTGCTTCAGCACTAATGAACTGCGCAGTGATAGCATTTTAGATGTGCTGCATCTGGTCAGGGTTAAAGGGAGACCCCTTGGCTGTGCTCAACATGCAAAAGCAGTGAAGTCTCATGTGGTAAAATTTTATGTTGTCACTCGATTGCACTTTTTGGTTAAAGGAATCAATAGAGCTAAGGAAGAACGGCGCAGGAGGCTGCAGCACCTAAAGCTCCGTAGGTGCGAGTAGGATTCCCGTGCAGCTGAGTGCTCCACTCGTCCTGTTACATACCTGTAACAGTTTTCTTTGTACATAGTATTTACAGTGATTTTTTTGTACTTTGAAGTTTATCTGTGTACATAGCCAGTGTAACAGTGATACTTCTTTGTATATATGAAAAGCAATAAGTTTTAAGCATCTGTATTTTTATTTTGTTTTCCTTTAAAATGTATCTTTATGCATAGTGTGTGTGACTGATATTTCTTTGTATATAGCAGCCGGTTTTAAACATCTTTATTTTTATTTTGTCGTGTCTGTAAACAAATTTAATATGCTGTTGACAGGTGGGAAAAAACCGCGTTGGTTTATGCCTGGCTTTATCCTTTGGCTGAATTACAGCTGCTTGTTTCTACACATTGAACGATATTTGTATATTTGCTGCTGATCCAATAAAAAGCTAAGGGATGCAGACATCGCTGTTGTCCTTTTAATATGGGTGTAAGAAAAAGCAGTTTTCTATTAGCATCGTTATTTAAAGCATTCCTTCCCGTAGCCGAGGCGTTGTGACAAAAGCACACGTGTAGCTTTCGCTCACGACATTCATTCCAATTTGAAATGCTATTTACAGCTTCGCTTTACTGCGGCCATGCACAATGAGACGGACAGCACGCGGACTTGACAGTTTCTCTCAATTGGTAAAAAGACTAAAAAAAAAAAACGGAATCGCGAAGAACCTACGCAAGGGGCGCATTCGCGCGTCACCGTAGCAGACGCTCAGAGCCGCGAAACCAGTGCAGCAACATTTAGGGGCAATATTATGAGGCGAAAGCCTGATTATCGTGTGGAAACACCATTTTTAATGCTACTCTGACAGTATAAATCTATAGCCGTACACCGGTAAGAAACTGGCCGTCGCACGTGTCGCCAAAGGCGCAGAAGCCCGGCAACGCACGACCGCGCGAGCGATGCGCAACCAAGCCGGATTGCTCGTAGCGCCCTCTATCGCAACCGCGTATGGAGCTTCAGGAAAACAGCGGCGGTCGCGCCACTCGACCTATTCTAGTACACTCTACTAAAATTGACAAGCGTTTCATTATCAATACTTCAGTTTTTTTGTATAACGTTCAAAGCACCTTTTTAAGACTTTAGTGCAAATAAAAGACGGGAAATTTCATTTTTAGCTCAATATGATTTCTTTTATATACTTTCAGGTAAATCGCACTTCGCGAGCTGTGTCGTCGAGAGTAGGCATTTCTCAGTCAACTGAGTTCTGGCGAAGGCAGTTGGTGGCGAATGGCATTCGAATGGCATTCGGATGAATGCCATTTTGTTCGCCCGTGTGGCACCGCGCGAATGGCAATATATTTGAAGGCATTCGGGGGTAAATGCCATTTTTTCTGCCCGTGTGGCACGGGTATAACTCTATAGTTCAAGCAGTGAACTGCTCCGCCACCTGTAGGTGCCACACGTTTCCCATAGGCACCAGATCTTTACCTGAAATACTGGTGGTAAATTGCTCTTGTGCGTAGCCGAAAAAAAAAAAAAAATGGGGGACCCTTAAAGGGACACTAAAGTCAAATAGCAGTTTACGCCAGAGTGGAAGCTCAATGCAAAACATCATCCAACAGGACAATATTATCAACAGTGCCCTACTTACCGAGAAATTAAGGTGAATGCACAAGAACAAATTCACCACAAGAGGACATTTCTGATTCAAAATGATTTCGATGACATATCACACCGACCGCCTACAATTAATCAGTAATAATCGATCTGGCTGCACTAAATAAAAACCTTTTGTGCATCGAGACCCAAATAAAATGCTGCTTGTTCGTTTCTGTTTGATTCACGGAAAAAAGAACCGCCAGACGTTACTGGAAATGGCGCGAGTGGTTCAAAAATTCAATTTTTGCGCGCTTGCACCAAACCTGTGGTGCCATCTAGTGGAGCGCAATCGAACCAAATGTCTGCAATCTCGAAGTTAATGGCGGGAAATTGGTCAATGGCCGTTGTTGCTGCTGTGGCTCCCGCTGCTTTCGGTCTGCTCCTACTAGCGCAGTAAAGCCGGGCAACCTTGTGCACTTCAACAAAGACGTGAGTCGGTCCGGTCGGTCCGCTTTTTGAGGTTGGTAATCTGAAGTGCGCTAACCCGATGCGGACCACTAAAACGTGATTTTATTTCAAAATATGCCCTTCCTTGGTACGAAAGTAACACTACGAGGTTTATGGACCACTATTTTAACAATCAACGTCGACTGAATAGTTGCCTTTATATTGTCCCTTAAAGCTTCACCTTTAAGAGTTGAATGCGATAGCAAAATACGGCCCCTAGTGCGTCCTTCAGCTGCTGTGTGCATACTTAATATGTTTTGTTACACACATAGCACGCACACACACACACACAAACAAACAAAGAAACAAACCTGCAAGCCCGACGTAATGCAGTGACTGTGCAGTGTGGCCACTTCCCTCTGCTGAACAGCGCTCGGCTGTAGTCGAGACACATTTTTCACAATGTCTCAAAGATGGTGCACAGACGCACGCACGCACGAAAGGTACATACAGGTCTTTTTTATCCAAAGCAAGAGTCGCATGACCTCCAAGATATACCCAGCGCGCTCGCCATCTCGAATGGCCATTAAGAATCTCACAATACCTCACAGATTGTAGCACATTATCTAGCGTTTGGTGTTTGCTTGATCAACGCCTCTGGAAAGGCTTATGTTTTCCACTATATGGACATGTATAGTTGTCCATTTTTAGAGCTGTTTGAAAGTTCTTGAGTGTTTTTTAGCGGTGATGGATGCACTATCCCGGCCTTTTTCAACGTAGTTTGATGGCCTCCCAAATGCACCTACAAATCGCTGAATGGGCTCGTTTTCGTCGTGACACCTATTGAACAAAAAATACGTTAAGGAGTCTCCTTTCCCTACATGTCATTTACACGTACTGAAACAACACTGCCGAGGACATGAGAGGGACCATTTCTTTAGTCGCAGAGGCTATTGGTTGGCGCACTTTGGTCATCTCGGCGGGGCTTCTCTGACATCCTCAAGTTTTATCCGACTATACATAGCATTCATGCGACGTCACAAAAAGGTGCTTGGTGCTGGGTACCCAAACATGGTGGTCACCGTGACTTTTAATCCCATTAGAGGGGGGTCAGTGCAAGAAAGGCATGCAGTTCTTTCTTCCACGTCTTCTTTTGTGCTCCCCCACATTCTTTTGTTCACCAATTGGGCCAAGGGTGAACTCTAACGCGAGGGGCTCCAGCACTAACCTGGTGTCACGATTTCTTGCTCCGCACATTCAGATACAAGAGCATGTGACGTTTCAACTACCTGGTATCCACACATGACGGCCACGGTGACGTCAATGCACACTATGTGTAGTGCTCGACGGGGGTGCCCCTCTCGCTTTGTTGTTGGGTCGCTCTCAAAGCGGTTTTAGCTGTTCACGTCAGAAATGCTTTTCTTTTCTCTGAGAAGACAAGCAATTAACAAGGGTTGTGAAAAGGTTACTTTTACAAGGACAATGTGGCACCATCGGCAGCTACACGCGCTAACAAGGACAATGTGGCACCATCGGCAGCTACACGCGCTAACTAGGTGACATTAGCCCAAGTGAACCCACATTGTCAATTCACCTATAGAAGAACGTGGAATGTCATGGCATCTGGGAGCGCGCACAACGGACGCTCACTGGTGTCTTTGCTACACACATTCCGCATCCCCTAAGAGCGCTGCTTAATATGACGCGGGCTGCAAAGTTAAAGCTTGTGTGGATTGCATACCGCAAAGACGTCAATGGCTGTCCCAATAGCACGCACTTGCAAGTACCGAGCAGTTTCGTGTTCCTCGAGGGGAAAAAATCCATGCAGGTCTACTCTACTTCTAACGTCACCTACTTGGTACACGTGGCTGCCCGCGGTTCCGCATTGTCCTTTTGAAACAATCTTTTCACGTCTGCTCGAACTCCAACTGAGGTACCCACACTATTTCATTCTTTATCATGCACTTTTACCGATTTGAAAAATGCATTGGCAGCGTCACCAAAGCTTCAGCGTATGTTTTCTTAGGTGCTCCTCCACTGTGAGGCGCTAATTTTTTATGATACCAGGCGGACATTTCAAAGTGATAAAATGAGTGATAACTGATGACACTACCATTAATTACGCAATATGTTTGAGCATTTTCAAAATCCGATTTCGGCATTATCAGACAAAAGACAGCAAATTACTATACCAAAAAGACACCAACAAAGATTTCGCTTTCAGGGGTCCTATAAGGCAGATGGCCATGAGAGTAAATAGATCACCAAACAAGAAGACAACGTGAATAGAACCCTGGATGTTTGAGATAATGGGTTTTATATAATGCTGACGAGCATATGCAGATGAATGAAAGGTGACGGGCGGAGGATGAATGCTCTCGCACTTGTCCCTAGCTCCAGTCGTCGTTTTCTTCGAACAATTTTTTGGTGATGGCAATCTGCACGGCTGGCGTCGTCGTCTTTTTCACCAGCTTCGGCTTTGACTCACCTGAAATGAACAATGCATATTTTTTTAATGCTTTTTCCAGCTATTACGAGGCAGGGGAAAGCGCCACCTGCTTACCTTCTGCAGTTTGTCTGGAGAAAGGAGCAAATGCGAAGTTCGTTAAGTGAAATGAAAGAGAAGTAGTTACAGTTAGATTCCTGTGCAAGACGCACTGATGAGACACCTGTGTCCCTACATTCAAATAGGTATTGATAAGAAAATGCATAAATGATACCATGCTTATCAGAAACACCTGATATAAAAGACGACAATCGCATCCGAGTGCATGTATGTTATATGTTATAAAGGAACTCAACTGCATTGGAGTCTTTTAACAGCACCGGTTCAGCATTCGGTAAGTAAGAAAATACTGTACCATCATGGTCAGCACGAAGCTTTTTAAACAACATCTTTTGACCCAATGAGTATGGTCGTATACAGTGACGTGATAAGAACAATAAAGTGTCTGATAAAAGAAATTGCTGACTAAAAATGCTATATCCTGACTATAACGACATGGCATTTCTATGCTTACCATACGGTGACACGACTCTCCTAAGAAAAATGTTGTGGCATACATGCATAATCTCTGAATTACGTGACATTATAATGCAGCTGCAGGCGGTTTTTCGCAAGATACACAGACAGGAAGAATTCTGAAGTGGTACACCAGATTAGTTAATGCTACTAAATTATCCTTGGAGAACTCCAGCCCTGATTAGTGATTACACTCGAACCTCATATAACAAACTTGTATCTTACATGAAAATATGCTCATTATGTCTGAACATTTGCTATAAAGGTTTATTCATAACACTAAATCTGTTGCGAGACAATTTTTCAATTACTTCGCTTTATCCAATATTTCGTTATATCCGAATTCGTTGTATCGAGGTTTGAGTGTACCACATAATTGATTTGTTGGTGGAGCAGAAAACGTGCGGACTAAGTGCATAAAGTGCACCAACACCAATACTGCATTGAACTGCTCAAAAGTTAATTTTCCCCCTTGACCATTCATGACTGGAATCGCCTACCATCAGTAGTTGTGCGTATCGCTGATAACACCAGCTTTGCTGCCGTGCTTTTAATTTGTATGATGGCTTGTTGCATTGAAATGTTTTGTACTGCAGTATGCCATGCTCAAACATTTCTTGTATTCAGCTTTCATATTTGTGCAATATGTACGTACTTCCCCCCCCCCCCCCCCACTGTAATGCCAACAGGTACTGTGAAATGTATGAATAAATAAATAAACAGGGGAAAGCTTCTTTTTTGTCTTTTGTGGGGACACTTTTGGCATCCGAATAATATTGGCAAATGCGAAAACCCTGCAAAGACAGGAAACTGCTGATAATGATAAAACTTCGTTAATGCAAACTTGGTGAATCAAACTGACCGCTCTGGTATTGACACAGCCCTGTGTATTTCGATGGGGGGACACTCCCAATATTTTGAACCCATCAGTGTCCGCAACGATTAATTAGAATTGGGAGTGCCTGGCTTTTAATGCTCCTCACGGAAGTCCACCCAAAGTGATCCCGATGTTTGGCATAAATAACCAAACCAAACCTAATTGATGGAAGATACAAAATAATGGTACCACAGCATTTCTCAGATGAGAATAAAAACCCAACAATGGACCTTCTTGGCAAGATGGAAATGATGCTCGTGGAGTTGTAACAAAGGAAACACAAGCCAATGAAAATTACTGATTACTTTTGATTTTTATTTTATTTGTGTTTACTTTGCCATTGATATAAAACATGTTTTAAAGCATAAAGAGCAGCACATGTTTTACATTAAAGTTCACAGCTTGCATGAATGCATGTCGGCATCAGTTTCTCGTGTTTCACTGACTGATCAATCAATTGCGTTCACTGTTAGAGCTCGATGAACTATATTTACAAAATGACCAGCCGCAAATGCGAACTAGTGCCTAGTTTGCGATGAAGAGTTCTGCCCGCACAGTGTGGTGCAACATCCATTCATTCTAGCACACGTCCGCTAAATTGAATTCAGCTTAATTTGAACAATGTTATACAGTTAAGCCCCTTTATAAGAGGCATGCTCTGGGTAGCAAGTGTTGTCTTTTATATGAAGTGTCTCTTATAAAGGACAACACATATGCATTTCTTATAAAAGACTACAAATATGCATTTTCTTAACCCGTATTTTACTGTGGGCGCACTGGTTTCCCTTACGGCCATTTGTCCCTTATATCAACGCCTCTTATAAAGGGGTTAGACTGTAATGACCTTTGAGTTGTAATTAACCATCTTTTACAGCATTGCACAGATAAGCACTGTTGGTGATGACATAACATTAGCCAAAGCATAAGAAATAACATGGTCTGACAGCGTAGGCAGCTTTTAGGAAATCTAAGAACGACAACGTTTTTAGGAAATGCAGGAGAAACAAAGCTTTGCTGTGCACAAAGCTTTGCCAAATTACCTATTAAAGACCACCCAGCTATATAAAAAAACTAATAACTAAAGCAAAATAAATCAAGAATAGTTTTATCATAGTCATGGCGTTACGAATACATAATCCTTGGATACAGTTCGAACAGGATATAAAGAAACCAAATTTTACGAATCTTGCAATGTAAGAAAATTTCCGTTTCCCGGCAGATACTCTCAGGGTTCATTGTTGTCATTAACAAAGATTAGCCAAACCATAACTAAACTCCACCTAATTTCATTAGGTTTTTTCCAAAAACGCGTAAAAAATTCACTGATGCTTTTCTAATATTGACGCACGTTGTCAAGCTACTGCGTTAAAGCGTCTAGTCACAATCCTAGTTTTATCTTGATGAGGCTGCATGTCACGCCCATGAACGAAATAACGGACTTTACAGTAGTCAGCAATTCTTTTACTACTCGGCACTCGAAGGTAGGACACTTAAATTTTGTTATAACAAAGTAGTACCTTCTACAAAATTAGGTTTGTTATATCTGAATATTCATTATAAAGGCATATCCTAATATCAATTGCAAGACTATTTATAACTAACTTTGTTAAAACTAACTTTGTTAAACTTCGTTATATTCAAGTTCGTTATGTTGAGGTTTGAGTGTAGTTTGTTGTCCATGCAAGAGCTCCCACATAAAGAGGGTGCTTCCTTCTGCTACATTAAATGATTCATACAACAGGTGGCACTCATCGCCTCCCTGCAACTTTCTTGCTCTGCCTGCTTGCCCAATAACACTGTTTTCTCCATCTTTGTGTATTGGCAGCTCGTGAATGCTTCGCATTAAATTCTTCACATGCACTGCTTGGACGGACATAGAAGGCTCCCTATCTGCACTGCCCTCAAGGACTTTCTACATGGGAAGGTGTGTGTGTTACAGACTAGCAGTCAAACCTCTTTATAGGAAGCACGCACCTAGCAGTCGTTCTTGTCTATTATATAAGGTGCCCTTCATAAACGGCGTACCACATATGCGTTTCCTCATGAACACCCACCATGAAATCCCAATAAACCAAACTCGGTTAAACAACAATGCCTTATTAAGAGAATTAAACAGGATCACTCAGTTGGATTTCTACACTCGGCACAGTGAAATGCTTTGCTTCATCGAAACACTGCTTATCGGTCAGATATGGTTAAACGGCACAAGCCCTACACGCAGTGCAGACTCCAAAGGTAGTCTCACAACCGTGGGAAGTATAATCATACCCGATCAAGCCAATGCAGTAGTCATACTGGCTTGTACTGCTACCTGTGTGAAGCCCACTGCAACGTGGGTATTTCAGCACGATGCAGAAGAAGCGGCCGCATCAGAAACTCCCGCTCGAAAAGAAGCTCGAAATTCTTATTAAGGAGCTCATTAAAGCAGCCTGTCCAAAACAGAGGTGGCTGAAAAATTCGTCATTCAAAAGTCGACACTGTCACATTCTGTGGCCCATTTTAGGGCAAAGGCCTCACTCGCATGCCTCATCAAACATGAAAACCGGTCGGCGTCCCGCGTTGGCATCAACACGAGTGATGCACAAAATCATCATCATGTGATGACATCTCCATGTTCCTCATAATCGTGCCACAAGTTGATAAAATTTGTGACGTCATGATGACACAATGACATCACTATGACATCATCCCAACTGACATCATATAATATGGTAACACGACATCATCGCTCGGTCAAACATGGGCACACCTAGGAGGCCGCGCAAAATCAGGCAAGGTGCCTGCGACCTTCAACCGCACTGAAAAACCCACAAGGTGCACGAAGGTTTCTAGGGTGGACGGGACAGGATTAACACATGGACTGAGAAAAAAAAAAAACTTTCCATCTTTGAGTCGTCTTAGGATGAATCCTTGAGTAACCCTGTGACGAGTTTTTTTTTTTTTCACGTCAGAAGCATGTTTCGTTACATAAAAGGTCTGACAGTTCACGACGCACAGCCGATGCTGTCAACATTCCCGAAACACAATTGTGAAGATCACTTTCCGCACTGACTCGCACTTCAAGTGTTGCAAAGTTATATACGTGCACTTACCGCTTTCCTCTTTCAACACACGGGGTTGGATGGATCCCAGCGAGGTCAATGAGGCAGATCTGCGAGTCAACGGTAAACGCCCGTCATGCAGATGTGCGGGGAGCATAAAGCAGTTACTGACCGATTGCAACAGCCAATAGTTGCAATTTCATGAATTCTTTCTCTCAGTAAGATTGGTCATACAATAAAAAATATTACCGTATTTACTCGATTCTACCGCGCCCTCGATTGCAACGCGCACCCATTTTTCTCGCTGGCCCGCACGATCACACCACTCGAAAAAACGACTCCTTTCGGGAGCGTCTTCCATTTATATATGAGGTACGGGCGAAGCTTGTGCCCATCTGACGTGTAACAGAGCATTGCCGTCACTGTAGTTTTACCGTGGACCGATGTCAGCACGCGAACTTGCTTCGCCCCCTTCTTCTCGACGGTTGTGGTGCCAGGCATGTCGAAGTAAAGAGGCGTCTGATCGGCATTCCCGATTTGCCCAAGCAGGTAGCCGTTGTTGCACCGCAAGTTTAGGACGAACCTCTGAAAACTGTGAAGCTTTTCATCGTACTCCTCCGCAAAACTTTTCGCATATGCATGTTCCCCTTCGGAGGGAAAAGCATTTCCTCTTCATAAAGTTAGTTAGCCAGCACCTGTTCGCTTCAAACTGGCTCCGCATTAGAACTTTTTCTAAGACTAATTACATAGCCCGCACTTGGAGCAGTTCTGTCGTCACGGGCCGCTGTGTTTGCTCGCTGCTCAAGCACATACTGGCCGAGCAGCTCTTTAATTTGCGGAAACCGACCCTGCTGTGGTCCACTGAAGCCTTTGCGTGAAGCTTTGCTGTCGACAATCTTCTGCTTTTGTTTCCGCCGGCCCCGCACACACGTTTCGGGAACTCCGAACGACCGCAATGCGGCCTGATTTCCGTCCGTTTCTGCACACGCGATGACTTTTCTTTTAAAAGCGGCATCGTGGTGCACTCGAGTTTTTGGAGTCAGTCCTACCACGCCGTCGATGCTAATGCACTACTAGATGACGAACTCCTCAGCACACGTACGAAGTGCCGCACATGGGAAATACATAGGCAGAAATGGTCGGCGCGCCATGCCGATGCACGTAGAGGGCGGCCATTTCGGATTTGCCGATGGCAATAGATTGACCGTAATTTTTTTTTGTTCGTACTCGATTCCAACGCGCATGCGATTTATGAACTCGCTTAACCGGAAAAAAGGTGCGCGTTAGATTCGAGTAATTACGGTAATTCACACTGGCGAGAAATCATTCCAGATCGAAAGTAGCTTAAAATCAATCAATGGTCGACAACGGTAAATAAAACAACTAAATGGTGGTCAATGGTGAATGGTGGTTAATGGTGAACAGACAAGTCGCACCTGCATTTAACTATATTAAAATGTTTTTACTCAAGATAACATCAATATCCCTACTTCTTTTGTGTGTGGCATAGCAGACGCAATTAGTGACCTCTGCATATCTCTTGATGGTGTTTGCAAATTAGTGGTAAAGCCTGATAAAAGCTTCATGGTCCTAACCATTTGTGCAATGCTTTTCTTGTTCGTTACTCTCTTCGGACTAGTTGATGTCTGACAATTATTTTTAACAAGTGTTTAGAAACCACGGGCATTTCTTCCTCGTGGTGACAGACTATAATTCTGCTATTGCACAAATCAGGTAACAAAGAGGTGTTAACTACCTACCGGCCAATTTCTCTTACTTCTGACTCCTAGAAGCCACATGGAATACATAATTATTAATGATGTTATCAATTACAATCAAACCTGAATATAATGAACACAAATATTACAAATTATCACTTATAACCAAGTAAATGAATAATTGCTCGGGAAATAGCTGCTGTGGTTCGAATATATTGTTACGGTAAGATGCCTTTATCTACAAGAGATGATGAATGCGAGAGTACAGGGATCTGGCAGATCACAACTCGTGTTCACTTCATTCTCCCCTTCTCCCACTCGTCCCCTCAGCACTGTAGCAATTCTCCCTTTGGAGACGATGCCCACCAGGCGAGTTAGGCTTTGTTGCAATGATGAAATCATTTTAAACGACCATCTTGGACGACGTCGGTCTTGCTAGAGCGGCGGCCAGTTGACAACAGCCCAGATATAGCGTACGTGACATCGCTGAGAAGTTCCAGAAGAACAGACGGACCAGTGTAGCTGGCCAGAAACTTTTGGCAGAGGCCGCCCTTGGGAAGCGGCGTCCAAATCCACACCAAATCTCCTTTCTCAAACAATACATGCCACTGACTTCTGTCGTAACGGTTCTTAAGAACATTACTGGGAAACGAAAGTTCAAAGACAGGCGATGCGCCGGGCCTCTCCTGTGCTGCAAATAGTTTCAGCGAGAGTAGGTTGATCGTTCTCGAAAAAAAGGAAGAATAGTGTCAAGTGCTGTGCAGGGTTGGCATAAGTAGAGCAGATAAAATGAACTGTACCTCTATGTTTCCTGCTGTGCAGTGTTGTAGGAGAAAGTTATAAATGGCAAGATGGTGTCCCATGTTTTGTGTCCGGAATCAATATACACAGAAATCATGTTGACGAGAGTCCTATTAGTTCATTCCGTCAAACCATAAGCCTGCGGGTGATACGAGGTAGTGTGACGAAAATGGTACGAAGCAAGATGCAGGAGGTTTTCAACTTCATCGGCAACCAATTGCCGCCCGTGGTCACTGATGATGATATGGGGGGGATCCACGGTGTAATATGATGTGAGACAGCATGAACTGTGAAACTTGAGTGGCCGTTGCCACAGGAATCGCCGCAGTTTCGGCGTAGCATGTGAGGTGATCAATGCCCACAATAATCCATCGGTTGCCATTCGTTGATCACAGAAAAGGGCCGAGCAGGTCAACACCGATGACATCAAATGGTGAACCCAGGGGTGCTATGGGATAAACAGTCCAGCTAGCGGTGTTGTAGGACGCTTGTAGCGTTGACATTGCTCACAGCTCGCAACGTATGCAGTCACACTTTTACGCATCTTCGGCTAGAAAAAGCGATCTTGGGTGCGATAAAATGTCCTAGAAAAACCCATATGGCCAGATGTTGGGTCGTCGTGAATTGCTCAAAGTACGAGTTGTTGCAAGCTTGTAGGCATAACTAGGAGTACAGGGGGCCTACGCCGGAATAATTCTTGTGAAGAACACCATCCTTTACGGCGAAACCTTGTTGACCGTTCGGTACAAAGATAAAGAAGAAAGCGAGACTGTTGTCACTGTGTTGCTCTGCTCGAAAAGTTGTTAGGTTAAGAAATGTAGCATACACTACCGCCAAATATTCATCAAAGCTGTCTGCAGCACCCTTTGTTGTGGAAAGGGGAAGCCATGAAAGGCAATCGGCATCAGCATGACGACGACCGCTCTTGTAACAGACTTTTTTTTCACTCCGGTTTACTTATAAACAGCAACTGGCATAGGCAACGACAAGTTCAGCAGCTCCAAGGCGATGGACAAACATAGGGCCAACCAATACCTACACCGCTGACGTCGGTATGAACTTCTGTGCAAGCAGACGAGTCATAGTGGCAAAGCACGGGCCTTGACGTAAGAACAAACTTGAGTTCCGAAAAAGACGACTCGCATTCTGCTGACCATTGAAAAGGTGCGTCCTTTTTGAGTAGGGACGTCAAAGGGTAAGCGAGGTCGGCGAACTTAGGCACGAAGCGGCGGAAGTACGAGCATAAGCCCAAAAAACTTCGGAACTCTCGTACAGACAGAGGTTGTTTGAAGCTGCTGCCTGCAGCGACTTTCCGGGGTTCGGGTCGAACACCATGCTTGTCCACCAGGTGACCAAGAACCAGAGTCTCACGGTTGCCGAAATGACACTTTTTAGAGTTCAGGGTGGGCTTAACTCTCTCAAGGAAGGTGAGAACAATGTCTAGACGATGGTTGTGTTCATCAAATGTACGGCCAAAAATTATAATGTTATCCAAGTAACAAAGACAAACTTCTCACTTTAGTCCACGTAATAGAGTGTCCATGAAGCGCTCAAACATGGCTGGGGCTTTGCATAGGCCAAAAGGCATTACATTGAATTCAAATAGACCATCTGGGGTTATAAAAGCCGTTTTATTTTTGTCATTCAGATGCATGGTGATTTGCCAATAGCCAGCTCTCAAATCCATGGAGGAGAAGTACGATGCCGAATGTAAACAACCAATGACATCATCAATCCTGAGAAGTGGGTAGACATCCTTTTTAGTAACCGAGTAGAGGCGTCTGTAATCCAGGCCGAATCGCCATGTACCGTCCTTCTTCCGGACAAAAATCACAGGGGAAGCCTAAGGGCTACACGACTCTTGGATGACACTTTTCTTTAACATCCCTTCTACCTGTTGAGCAATGACCTTGCGCTCCGCAGATGAGGCACGGTATGGTTTCTGCCAGACAGGGTGAGCAGATTCTGTGTCAATCCCGTGGCGAGTACGCGACTCGGGTACACTTATTTGCTCTTCATTCTGCACAACGTCAAATATAGTAAGAGGACTCTGATCAAAGCTCGACGTTTTTATGATGATAGCGACTTGTTTACCATATTTAGAAAGTTGGCTTCTGTATAGTGCGTTGCACGAATATGGTCTAAGCTCTCGTCGATTAAAGATCCAAAACTGTTCGCATTTTGTTCGAAGAGGGCGAGTTACAATTCACAGGGTAGCATGACAGGTTCAGTGGAATAATTTAACACCCATAAGGCCAATTGCCCATCGCTTATGGAAAGAACACAACGTGGAACAAGCACATTTTTCTTGGCGCACTTGAGAGGAACCAGCTCCACAAGAACATCAAACGTGCCGGTGTCTGAGGCGGAGGCGTTAACGCGAACATTCTTCATTGAGCTGGGCGGCAAGATAACATTTTCAATGGAGGTGATGGATCCTTGACAGCCCTTGGGTTCGTCAGTAAATGCCGATAGCATAATCTCGCCAACACCGCAATCTACAGTAGCACTGCACTCGCGTAGAAAATCGATCCCCAAGATGATGTCATGGGTGGGGCGGCCAGGACAGCGAATTCTGCCTCGAAAACCTTGTCGCCCAAAGTAACACTAACAACACACACACCGATAGGGCACAGCGTCTCCCCGCTCACTGCACGAAATGTTGCACAACTGTCCAAGCGAAACATCACTTTATGTCCTAGCCGCAATTTCTGAAACTGCTCCTCCAGTATCTACTAAAGCCATCGTAGGCAGCATCAATAAGCACGGGGACCTTATTTTGAATCATAAAAACAGGTGGAGGCGTGGTGGATGTAGTGAAAAATGTTCAGCGACCTTACCTCCATTGGCCGCAACACCTAGTTTCCCAGAGGGGGGAGGTGACGCATCGGCCAGGGGATGGTGAATGGAGCCGGCGTGCTGCGGGCGGGGGGGCGTCAAGATTCACACGGAGGAAGGCGAGTCGATGCGGCAATTCAGGTGAAAATTGCGTCCCACATGTGTGTCACTGCAGGCGGTTTTCTGGAAGCCGTCCCCAACAAACGCGCCTAGCATCAAGCGCTACCACCGCACCAGCTCTTTTGTAGAGAAGAAGCTGGTGGTCCCTCGTAGTAGCGCTGCTAAGGGCGACGCCTTTGACTGCAGAATCGAGCCACATGATCACGGGAACTGCAGTTATAGCACACAGGGGCCTCACGCATGTCGCCAAACTTTCCACAAGGCGCCATGTACCCATGATCGCGCCACGAAGACACCATTCTAGGTAGTTGGCTGGAGGCATTCTGGAAACCGTGGCGAAGACGTAGGTTGTCGGTTGGAAGCTCCGGTGCTCTTGATTGGGGCACATCACATAGCCTGGCATCAAGGCAGCATGCATTACGTCGTATGGTGGGGAGGCACCGCTAGCATGTGCCCTCGGCGGGGTGACAGCATACCGTTGTCCAGTTCCTCGCATACGATTTGTCTGATCATCGAGGTAAGATTGCAGAATGATATTGGAGCGACGTGGACACTTGCAACGGTGGTGACGTTGGCAAGTCTACCAAATTTGGGAGTGATGCGCCTAGCCTTCAGTGTCTCAAAAATGCGGCAGTGTTGAATTACGTCCGCCACAGACACCAAGGTGTCCTTGCCTATGAGGAAATTGTATACATTCTCAGCAATCCCTTTGAGGAGATGCTCCACCTTATCATCTTCTTTCATGCGTGGGTCTACACACTGGCACAATTTCAGAATCTCTTCAACATACCGTATTTACTCGCGTAATCCTCGCATTCGCATAATTCTCGCACCCCCCAAATCGCCCAACAAAAATATGAATTCTTGTTTTTCTCGAGTAATTATCGCAACCCCGAAAACTGCCGCAATAGAGTCGTCTGCTCGTTCCAGCCAAAGATGATAGCGTGTGCGATCTCGTGCCATCTCTTAAGCATCAAGCGTACTACTATTGCACAGATTTTCAATCCAAGCCAAGCCAAGCCGAAGTGGCCAGTGCGCGTTGCGGCGTGTTTTGTATGTTGTGTCGGTAATTTTGGCACGTTATGGGGCGATACTGATGCTACACAGCTGCTTCAATATGCAAGTGATAAATCATGCACTAAACAACGGCAACAGAGCCGCCGTTAGGCCTTTTCAGAGTCTACGAGTTTTGTGTTCGCTACTGGTGATGGCAGCTGAAAGCCACCAAGACGCACTGGGCCTGCCGTATGCCTAAAACTGGGATTGATAGTAAATGTTATTTCTTCAGAAGGAAACTGCGGACGATTCTGTTAAATAGCCATCAGCTCAATATTGACATCCTACGCTTACCTTTCGAGGGCTCCTGTTGAGCAACGAACACTACCGCTACTCCCGCAAGGTCCACAAGCTTTGTGTATGGCATTCTAATTCTCGACTATTTGCTTCGACTTTTTGTGTCTCAAATAAATCTTGCCTTGTGTTGAACCTCTGCTTTTATTGTTGAGGTAAGTTTTAATTAGTACTTCTTAAAGCTTGCTGTTAATTGCTGGTGTGAGAATCCGGATCTGCGGCCACTTCGTTTTCTTTTTCTCTCTGTACGTTTTCGTGGAAAGTTTTCCCCGCGTAATTCTCGCACCCCACAACTTTGCATCGGTTTTCCGGCAAAAAAGTGCGAGGATTATGCGAGTAAATACGGTAAGTTGTGCATGTTTTACCGCGAACTTGAGCACGCTGCATGAAAGTTTGCTCAGTGTGCTTCTTCATCAATGGGTCCCTCAAGCAGCTCGCTATTTCTTTCTCCAACATTCCCAGGTCGTTATTGTTTCTTTGTGGTTCAAACCACACCAACGCTGTCCCTTGAAGAAACAATCCAACGTTGGTAACCGGGAGGCCGCATCCTAACAATTGTATTTACTCACAGCATTAAAGTGCTTCAGCCATTCATCGACATATTCTCCGACGTTCCCAGAGAAGTTTCAAGGTACAATGTGTTGGGGCCACGTAGCGTCAGACGAAGAGTGCATGGTGTCGCCGTCAGCAATTGGATCCATAGAGAGTGGTGGTAGACCGGCCAGTCAGCGGCTTCAGCGTAGTTTTTGAGGTAGCGCTTTCGTGATCGTTCGCCTGGGATCGCTCCCCAGTACCACGCACCTTCCACCGATTTTGTTACGGTGAGATGCCTTTATTTACAGGAGATGACGAATGGGAGAGTCCAAGGATCTGGCAGATTACCGCTCGTGATCATTTCGTTCTCCTCTCCTCCCACGTGTCCCCTCAGTATCGTAGCAATATGTTTACAACAAATTTTTGGATATAGCGAAGTTATTTTCGTGTCAAATGCAACTTCGTTTCAATGACGTTCAAGTGTACCGCGAAACAAATAACATAGTAAAAAATCGCCAACGTGGTTTTTTGTTGTGGTGTAAGTCACTGTAAGTCGGTCGAGTTCACGTATGACATTTCTAAAGCACTAGATCTTACTGCACAGATTGATGCGATTCTTTATAGATATGTGTGAAGCTTGTACTGCATAAACTACTAATTTAAGCACAGCCTCATTCTAAATAATCCTAAACACATAGACTGGGTAGCCAGTTTTCTTTCAGATAATTCCAAACAGGTGCACCACAGTGCTTACGAGTCCCCTCTTGCTAATATTTCCTCCGGCGTGCCACAGAGTACACTGCTTGGCCCTCTTCTCTTACCGCTTTACGTTAATGACTTACCACAAAATATATTTTTTTGGCTGCTCTGCGCGAGACAAGGATGAAGTAAGAAGTTTACATGAATGGTTGCGCTCGTCCATGGTACTCCTTAATTCAACCTTGTTTGTCTCCTGCAAAGTGGCTTAAGGATGGATTCATTTGAACTAGGCCGGCTAGTAGTTTTGCACAAAATGTAAGCACGAGCATGTGCTATACGGAGAGGATTGCATTTTCTACCACACTATTAACCGTAGTGAAGACCGTTCAATTCTTAGCGACACATTCTCACAATTCTGCTGATGGTGCAACATCTCAAGTGTTTTAATGACATTCACTCGCCGTTTAGCTCCCTCAGTTGTCTTGTACTCTTTCAATAACTCTTCTTTACTCAAAGTACCCTTAGTACATGTATCAAGGGTCTTCTATTTACTGACAATCTATCTTAGAACAAGCTTATTGAAATGATATGTACTAAAGCCTTACCAAAAAACAAAATAAAAATCTGGGCTATCTCTAGCGCACCGTTCGGCTAGCTCCTCAAGAAACCAAAGTGCTCACTTACCAAACATTAGGTTGTCTAGCACCTGAATATGCATTTATAGTTTGGAACCCATTTCATAAAAAAATGACTTCTATTCTAGTGTACTTGTCTTTGAAGGCTGGGTCCGTCCTTTTTTCGAATTATAAAGACCTTGCTTGAGAAAAAATAATGATCATAAGGTTACAACACACTGGAATCAGAATCGTAGAGAAAAATAACCAACCTCTTCCGCTTGCGAGCCATACCCGTTTCTTCCACAGTCTCGTCAGAATGCCCCGGCGAGGACTTCTTGTTCGCCGTCACTACCGCTGCAGTGTCACGTTGACACCTCAGCTTCATTATGTAAGTGGAGTAGCTCTGTAGGCAATAGGAATCCTGGGTCGACGTTTTCTTTGAGCCAAGTTTCTTCAGCGCTGCGGTTTCGAAAGTTTTAGGCAATTCAGAGCCATTGTGGTCTTAAAGTAGTGCAATTTTAAGGGGTGTGACATGCTAAGCCCAGGAGATAACTACGAGGCAAGCCAATAAATTTGAGACGCATTGCTGTACCAAAATAAAAATCTATGAAGCTTTACATGTCAAAACAAGGACAGAATTATGAGGCGTGCTAGAGTGGGGGTGTCCCGATCATTTGTGATGAGACAAGGTGCTTTACTATACACTTGATTATACAACTGCAGGTGTTCCTGTATTCTGGCCCTATTGGCTGCTGTGGCCAGGAATTAAACATGGGCCCTTGAGCTTGTAAGTGCGACACTCCACCTGCTAACCCAGAAGAGTGAGTAAGGAAATAAAGGGGCGGTATTTAATAGCACAAACAGAATAAAGCAATATAATTAGTGATATTTGTGGAGCAGCACAACGGTGACAGTACCAGTTCTCCCGGAATCGTATCAAAGGCTCGCCTCCATCAGAGTTTGTGGAGGTACCGTCCCCACCAGAAAAGTCGTTTGTGCTGTATGACATGTGTGCATGTACCACGCATTATTAATGCTTGTACCACGCATTATCACTGCGATATTACAAGTTGTATGGTGGAGCATAGATACATGACGCACGTGGTTCAAAGGTATGCAGGTTATTGTCTCTGCATTCACAAGCAGATTAAGTCATTTTCACTGAATTTCCAAGCAGATACATGGCTCTGTGGTACAACACCCACTTGCCACGCAATCGACCCGGGCTCGATCCGCACTCGGACCTAAATGACCAGGATTTTTTTATTCTTTCATTGCCATCATTCTCGATTTTTCGGTCACGCATAAAATGATCATTTCTTTTACTCACAACCAATGACAAAGAAACCGAAACAAGCTCTTCAACGATATCGCATTAATAATATAAGGGGGATTCACATACCAAATGATATGATTATAAGGAATACTCCAGAGGAGGTCTTTAGTTTTTGCTAAAACACATTCATATGATTCAACCACATTCTCGTCCCGCAACTACGTGCGTGTAATCCAGTGGCCAAGACATCAGCCTTTAGAGCGTGTGGGCCTAGGTTCAAACCTCGGCACCACATAATTTTTTTCCGTTTCTAGATTTATTTATAATGATGCTTATCATTCGTGGTGAATGGGCACACAGTTTTGTTCACTGTGTTGGTGGATAAATGGTTATGCATTTAGAACTACACTCAAAGCTCAATACAGCGGACCCGATATAACGAACTATCGGTTATAAAGAAGTAAATTAAGAATAGCCTTGCAACAAATATAGTGTTAAAATATACTTTTACAATAAATTTCCAGTTACAGCGGACTTATTTTGGTGTAAGGAGCAGCCTTGTCATAATGAGGTTTGAGTGTATAGAAATGTGAAGTCTGTTACAAGGGTTTTCGCTTACAACACAAAGGAAATACTAAAAACTAGGCCTGTGCACTTAGTGAATTTTAGGTTCAAAGCAAATTCAAAGCAAATAGTGATTTTGGCCAAATAATTACACATCAAATTCAAATCGAACATATCACATATGTAAAGAAAAATGGGCATATTTCTCATGACCTGAATAATCTGCACAATATTTCTTAAAAACTGAAACAAGGCCAGTGCATTTTTTTTTTTTTCAAAGAAAACAGGAATAACTTTGAATAATGGTGAGATTCGACATTCGGTAGAATGCAAGCGATAACCTGTAAAATATGTTATACAGTATTTTGAAACTTACTACGCTTTGAGCTTGTATAAGAATCTTCTAAACTTCAAAAATGATGAATTGATGTGAAGGTAGTACACTTGAACCTCGTTATAACAAAGTTGCATAATATATCAAAATAAGTTTGTTATATCCAAAAATTTGTTAGAAAGACATATTCCTAATTTTATATCTATTGCAAGGCTATTCTTCATTTATTTCGTTCTAACCGATATTTCGTTATACCTGAGTTTGTTATATTAAGGTGTGAGTGTATGTTCATTTAACATTAAAGTGGGCCTTCGCAGCAGTGGGATTTCTTTCGGGTAGGTGTTTTTACCTCAGCACTTCTTTACTGCTGCGAAACCACATTTACAGGAGGTTACATGCAGGTCAGATCGCTCATTTCGAATACTTTGAGATTTTTCAAATATTTGAAGCCTTAGGATATTCGCAGAAACCTACAAAACACGCATGCACGCGTGACCAGACAAAGCTTACCCTGCGTAGCGAGAGGGCTGCTAGCCATTGCAATGAATGCTTGCGTGGAGTTGATCCAGTAGATGGTGATCTGACCTGAGAATTTGAAGCAAAGAGGGGCAGGGGTTAGACATAGGAGTGCAAAAAAAGTACCAATCAATTAAGCATCACAAAGCATGAAAGCAATTTCGAGAAACATATTTGAAGTTAACCTATGTAGATTACATTTATATGCACACACTTTTAAGCTGCATTCTTTGACATCTGAAAGCACCATCAACCGTGAAACAAAGGAGTGCATAATGTGTGTGTTCTTTCTAAAGTATTACAAAAGAAAAATATAGTTGAGCGTCAGTGATGTCACTGCCGATGATTTTCACCCAACAAATGAAAATACTCACGAAAGTTGGTCCCCGCTTATGTGGGACTGTAATTTGTCACACTGAGTGTAGGCCACTTATAACATAACCGTTTATATTGCAGAACGCATTACAATAAGGTATTTTCCAACTCCAGTTCACCATCGCATAGAAGCCCATGTATAAACGCACCACTTATTGTGCAGTCCCTCGAAGGTGAGAGACGGATTGTAATGCGGTTGCCGGAAAATCTTTGCGACAACTGCAGCAGCGAGTGCGCGTCTGAAATGGGGCGTGCCAGGTTCGTTGCCAGGAAGCGAGCGACGAGGTCATTACAAAGGAGGAGGGGACGTGTAGTGAATGAACGAAGGGCGAAGAAAGTAAAAGAAAAGGTAAAAAAGCCCCTGGCACACTGCGCGGGCTCACAGAGTGAGGGCAGTTGCCTTGTGGACCAGCGCCGACGCAGCTACAGTGTACTGGCACTGAGCTGTGCTCCCAACAGGGCTGCAGGATTTGCGCCCTTTCCCTCTCTCGATTGCTCTCTCTCTCTCTGCAATAAACTAGCGTTGCTAGCGTGGCCCCGGCCGTGGCGCAGCTCAACATGGCACGTGCGATCTCGTTCTTAGTTTCAGTCGAGAGAAGCATCACCGTTATCGTGCTTGCTACATATATATCGCGTTTGCTGCCGCATCTCTAAATTTAAAACCTTTTAGAGCTTTATAACGCGAGTAGGCTTGTGGGAACACTTGAATGCTTTGGATATTCTAAGAATAATGCAGTATTCGAATTGGCTTTGGATTGAATTTTAGGTACTGAAAATTTTGAATTATTCGCGAAGAACGGATAGGTGCATATTAGTCCACACGTACACCCTGCAAAGATGGTTTCACTGCCGAGAAATGGTGCTAAGCCATGAAAGCACCTGTCTAAGTATTTATCAGTTCGTATGTAACTCTGTAAATGTGGTTTTACTGCAGTGAAGTGGTGCTAAGCCGTGAAAACGCCCATCCCAAAGTAATCCGTGCTGTGGCGAAACTCCTTTTCAAAGTTAAGTGAACTTTCTACCCTCTCATCGACTCGTAGTTTTTCAAGTTTTAAAGCTTGTTATACCACCTTACATGTTCCAAGTATAGCAAATTTTAAAAAGTAACATATTTTTTTTACAGGCTATCACTTGCATTCTACCGAAACTTTCAACACAATAGAAGTATATTCGTCGGATATTCATGTCTTGGTCAACCTTTTCGCGACAACTTACCAATCGGCACGATAAGCCTAATCGGAGTCGGTTGCATTTTGGTAGCGGTCGCTTGTAATATTTGGTGCGAATCAATGAAACTCTTCGCGGCGGCTGCACATGGTGGGAAGGGATACATATCGTTAAAAGGACCAGCCATTGGTCAGAAAGTGTTATTAGATGCTAGTAGAAATGAAACGACCATAAAATGTAGTCACAGGTTTCAGCATTCTGTCTGCATTGTGAGTAGGATTTATATTTTTAATTCGTACTTAAAAGTAACAAAACTGCCATGTGGCGCCACCTAGTAGAAGAGAATTGAACCTGGATTATGAAATACAAGGTCGATCCCTTCGCTACACGTAGTCGCAAGGCCTAATGTTATTATTCGTGCAAGTCCTCAGAAATAAAGTATGTACTACCTATATCATCACCCAGCCCTGCTCAATACTGTGCTGCTTATGATGCAAAAGGAGTAACACGGCAAAAAGTGGCGCTGCCGTCGTGGCCTCCAGTGGACCAAATCTAGCTGTGGCACATGTGCAAAGTGCACATGTGCGAAGTGCACATGCGCGAAGTGCACATGCGCGAAGTGCACATGCGCAATAAACCGCCACGCTCGAACACGAACTGCCCACCTGCTCACTCTTTGTGTCATGCGAGTACATGACTTCAATTTCGCTGCAGATAGAACTCCGATAACAAATGTTTCGCAGTGTTCGACCTACGTTTCAGCCTTTTGTTTGAGAACTGGCAGTGCAAAAAGAAATACAACACAAGCAATCGAAATACAAACACTAATAAATGTTCTTGTCTAAATTAGTGAAGACTTGACCAGTCCGGCGTTCACTGTGAAGGGATATTGGAGTTCATTATTTCTACTTGTTGTACGGCCATCAGGAAAAACATGCATAAACAAGGATTGGGGCCGGGGCTATTGCCCCTTGTCACGACTCCAAATAGTCCACTGGCTGATCCTCTTTATAAAACGCAAGAACCAAAAGGACTTGGGGAAACAAAAGAAAGACAAGGAAATAGGGTATACACTAATCCTTTCCGTTGTCTCAATTCTCCTCTCCATCAGCCTTATTGTTTATTGACTGCCATTACAGGGCACTTTTACGTGAACATCCGTGACGCACAGATGTAGCATCCCAAAGTAATGCAGCGAAATTCCATAAATTTCCCCCTGTTTTGACTAGTGAATAGTGCTGAAACGCAGCCAGCTCGGCTGCTAAACGACCACGAAAATAAGGGGACGCACCTTGAACCTCCGCTCGATCATCTTCATAAGCAGAGTGAAAGACGAGTTCTGTGTCCCGCTGCACACACGATTGTTCTGTGCATACTTTTCCATTCCTTCCATGCATTTGTGAGAAAATCTTTAGCACACGAGGTGTGACCGGAGCAGACTCCCAAAGCCTAAGGGAGCTTGTTCTTGCATTTCAGACCCTGCTTCACACGCCCTCGATGGACCAAGTAATCAACATCTGCGATCGCGTCAATGATGACGGCAGTTTCATCAGTAGGTTATGGTAAACAGCTGTTTAGTTTTGACTCTGCCCTCGCCAGCTTGTCCGCTCGCAAATGCACGATCCTCATCGATGATCATGTCAATGGCGACCACTTGATTTCACCTACAGCGGCTGCGGCGAGTAGTACGCGCACACTTTAAAAATTGAAATGTATGAAGAAAGGTTCTTGGTACCACAACAAAACTCACATAGCTTGCTTGCTTTCATGTACATTCACAGAGAATAAGCCGTTGCCTTTTTCTTGTTAAGAATTCTATGTCACGCTGATAACGTGCACACAGTTTGTGACCTTCAAGTTAGGAGTTAGGAGTTAGGGCGAGAATTATAAAACTTGCCGACTCAGTCACATACTTACTTTTATCTGAAACATGCATGTCAAAAAGAAATGAAACAGGCAGTTTCTGAGAATCACAAGATAATATGAAAGGGCCAGTGAACAGGCTCCGACTTTTTTCTTTATACCCCACAAACAAGCTCCATAATTCGTAGAGTAGACCGCAGCGATCACGTTTTCTGAATATTACAGAGCTGCGCGCTGCTCAGAGCCTCCATTTCGCAAAACGATTCCCGCGCTGCTTTCCTACCCCTGACCAATCTCCTTGCAAGTGCAGTGACGACGACTCGGCGATCGGCAACGTGACACAGCGCGCAGCTCGTCGATTGGTCTAAACCAGGTCTCAACAAACAGTAGTGGAGTAAATGACAGTTCCTGTTTCCACCCCCAGCTACGAGAGAGCTATTCAACAATATGAGTTGCGAAACTCTTCATAGGCTCCATGCATCGAAATCGGGACACTTCACTGACCCAGTTTTTGGGAGTAAGCGGATTGTTGGGCCACCTTTTGATCATCACACCCACTATTAGGCCAATTGTTTGTGTTGCTGCTCCCAGATCTCGTGACAATCTGCTCCCAAAAAAATCAAACTCCTCCAAAATCGGGCCAACTTCATGTCTAGGTTTCGGAACGCAGTTTTGGTGGTTTTGGGACGTTAAACCCCACAAATCAATCAATCAATCAATCAATCATCGAACGCAGTTTTGCTGCAAGTTGTTCTCGGCTGCAAATCGAGCGACTGAGCTACGGAGAAACATCGGCACCGGGTAAGCGGTAAACATCCGGGCATCGCAGCAAGCGGAACTACGTTGCGACTGATCGAGTTTGCCAATGACGTCATCGTTGACGTCTTGTCACATTGCCGTGGTGGGCAGAGTCATGACGACGGGCCACGCCTTCCCCTTCCTCTGAAGGAGAAGGGTGGCGAAGACCGCGCGAAAATTTGAAACCAGCTGAACACGAATGTTCCAGCCCCTGTAACTTCCTTAATATAGCACATATTTGCAAAATTCTTGTGGCAGCATGTTCACGAAGTAAAAGTGCACATATTTCTCTTTACAACAATTTTTGGACCTTAGAGTTGTTTACTGGCCCTTTAAAAGTTGAATTCAATTACACATACCGTATTTACTCGCATATTATTCGCATCTTTCTTTGCCAGAAAACGGATGCAAAGTTGGGGGGTGCGAGAATTATGCGGGGAGAACTTTCCACGAAAACGCAGAGAGCGAAAAAGAAAACGAAGTGGCCGTAAATCGGGATTCTCACACCAGCAACTTATAACAAGCTTTAAGAAGTATTAATTATAACTTACCTCAGCAATAAAAGCAGAGGTTCAACACAAGGCAAGATTTATTTGAGACACAAAAAGTGGAAGCAAATAGTCGAGAATTAAAATACTATGCGCAAAGCTTGTGGGGCAAGGTTCCTTTTGGCGTTGCATAAGTCAGTTGCCAGACTTTGGGGTGGTTGTTGCCAGACTGCCGTTAAATGTGGCTAAAAAATGTTCTGTAGTTGTGGCTTCTCCGTAAGAGTTTGGTGCCATCCGCGGTGCATTTCAAGAGTGCATGAGCGACGCTGGCCGTTTTAATTAACGGAATGAACCGAGCCTAGCAGAAGTATAGTGTGGCGCTGCCGTGCGCTTGGGAGGCCAATTTTTATAACGGAATGAACCGCGCATTACAAAATTCGTTTTAATTAACGGAATGAACAGAGCCTAGCAGAAGTCGAGCGTGGCGCTGCTGTGCAATTAGGAGGCCAGTTAAATTATCGAAATGAACCGTTTTCTTCTGCTAGGCACGGTTCATTCCGTTAACTAAAACGGCCTCTTAATTGCACAGCAGCGCCACGCTCGACTTCTGCTAGGCGCGGTTCATTCCGTAAATAAAACTAATTCTGTAGTGCGCGGTTCATTCCGTTAATTAAAACGGCCTCTTAATTGCACGGCAGCGCCGCGCTCTACTTCTGCTAGGCGCGGTTCATTCCGTTAATTAAATTGGCCTCTTGTTTGCACGGCAGCGCCGCGCATAACTACTGCTAGGCGCGGTTCATTCCGTTTATTAAAACGGCCTCTTAATTGCACGGCAGCGCCACGCTCGACTACTGCTAGGTGCGGTTCATTTCGTTAATTAAAACGGCCAGCGTCGCTAGTTCGCGAAATGCACCGCGGATGGCACCAAAATCTCACAAAAAAGCCACAACTACAGGAAAAAAATTTTGCAGTCAAATTTAGCGGCAGTCTGGCAACACTGACCCTCTCAGTCTGGCAATTACTTGTGCAACGCCAAAAGGAACCTTGCCGCTTGTGGGCGTTGGGGCCGTAGCGGTAGCGTTCGTCGCTCAACAGGAGCCTTCAAAAGTTAAGCGTAGGACGTCAGTATTGGGCTGATGGCTATTTAACAGAATCGTCCGCAGTTTCCTTCTGAAGAAATAGAGTTTACCATTAATCCTAGTTCTAGGCACACGGCAGGCCCAACGCATCTTGGTGGCCTTCAGCTGCCATCACCAGTAGCGAATACAAAACTCGTAAACTCCGAAGGGCCTATCGGCGGCCCTATTGCCGTCGTTTAGTACAAGATCTATCACTTGCAACTTGAAGCAGTCGTGTAGCTTCAGTATCACCCCATAACGTGCCAAGATTACCGAAACAGCATACAAAACACGCCGCAACGCGCACTGGCCACTTAAGCTTAGCTTGGATTGGATTGAATCTGCTTGCAATAGTACGCTTGATGCTTAAGAGATGGAGCCAGATGGCACGCGCTATCATCATCAGTGGCTGGAACGAGCAGACGACATTATTGCGGCAGTTTTCGGGGGTGCGGTAATTACTCGAGGAAAAAAAAGAAATCGTATTTTTCTTGGGCAAAGTGGGGGGTGCGAGTATTACGCGAGTAAATACGGTACACAGTTTGCGTTTCGACTCATCATCACTGTGATACTGGGCAGAATTTAGAAAAGGCGACGGTATTATGAAAAAAAAAAAACAACAAAAAAACTGCAAGATATGAGCTAAACCATTGTTGCGCGATTTTCAGCGCAGTTCAGAGCACATATCACCACGGCGATAAAGCGGCACTCGTCTGGTTCTTTTTTTCTTTCTTTCTTGGGTAGCATACTGACTCAACGCATGCGCCTTGTCCGCTGCGAAGTCCGATACTGACTGCATTAACAATGCTGCACTCTGAGCTGTGAAATCCACGATCAGCTGAAGTTCCTGAGTGCGCCTAGCACGGACCGTGCCAATACGCAGCTAAAAGCGAGTCCCGATGCTGCTATTTCTTAGCGAATTTGATATCCATCGATAAGGGTATCATTTGTAACAGTTTACTACCGTCAAATTAAGAACTGGCATGCATCTTATACGTGCCAGTCGATGTGTTACGAGGCAGGTGAAGGTGGCTGGTTGGGACTCGCTTTTCTGTGCCACTTCAGTCATCGCCCTCAAAGTGGCGACCGGCTCGAACATGTAAGGATGTATACAGTGAACTGGATCAGACTTTCAGAGTTCGCCATACTTATAGCAACTACCCGATTTCAACAGATAAACACGGCACTGACTGCCGGCGAGCGCAGTCAGCTGTCCTCCCCTTCCTAAGCGTGAAGTCATGGAGCTTCGACCAATCACAGTGGCGGTGAGACTCGCCAAGGCGGCCGCGGCGCCTGTTGCTTGTTTTCGGCAAAATAAAGTTATTTGCATTGGTTTATGCAAATTTTCGCATTAATTTTTGAGTCTGCCATACAAAATTACGCATCATGACACCACATCCTCGTTTATTTTTTTTTTCAAAAAGTGTTTCAGTGTCCCTTAAAGGCAGCTTCGACACCACATGACATGTCTTTTCGGCAACAATTCTGTCTAATAGCAAACAGGCAAGAACGAGCAAAAGATTTCTTTTATATATACGTAAAAGACGAAAGTACGACATCTGGTGTCTAAGCACTTTCACTAAATTTACTGAAGGTCACTTCTTGCAATGACCGTCATGGTCATTGCAACAAGCGCCATTACAAAAAAAAAAATACATTGAAAAAGCTTCCTGTAGTTGCGCCAAGAGGCTTGGCGCAACTGCACGCTGGACTGGCTGCACGGCTGGACGGGCTTCTTTGTTTTTCCTTTATTTTTCCTTTTTCTTTCGGCCCATTTTTGCTTTTTTTTATGTATTTCTGTCTCGGTTCAGTTCTATTCAATTGTATGGCCCATATCCACAAGCCAACCTTATCATCATCTTGCGTTTTCCTTGTTGGTTTTGCACCTCTTGTGCGTTCGATTAACAAAGAACACCAGTATTCACTAATTGATTTTGTAGACGTATATATTAGTCTGTGACCAAATTTACGGCCTTAAAACATGCGCGAGTGAGTATACAGAAACTCGATGAAAACTATAGGTGCGGTCGGCTTGTGAAAACGGGGCCAACTGTCTTTCTATTTCTTTTTCTCGCTCTTTCTTCTCTTGGTTCCTCTATTTCTCCCCCCCCCCTATCTCTCTTTCTAGTTTTTTCTATTTCTGCCATGCCCTCTCATTTTTGCGCTTTTTTCTATATTGTTCTCTTTATTTCTTTCCTATTTTTTAAAAATCTTTTCCCCTCTTCACTTTCATTTCTTTCTGTCTCCTTCCATCTCTTTCTTTCTTTCACTCTCTCTGTACTCCCTTGCCCATCAGGGCAATAGCATCCTACGCCAATCAAATTGGCGCACGTATTCCGGAAGCGAAGAAGAAGAGGACAGAAACAGCGCATAGAAGTACATGACCATGAACATTTTCGTTACGCGATTGAAAAGAGAATGAAGAAAGCGCACGAAAAATTTCTGTTCGTGACTAACAGAGTTTTCTCCAAGCTTAACCAGCTGCGCTGTTGAATTGAAAACGTAATTTTTTGCTTCTTGGCTCAGTTCTCAGCCCAACCATTTCTCGACTCACCGAAGCTGTTGAACAACTGGTGGAAGTCGTTGGCGCGCCACTCCGTGGGGAACGTCGCGTGCAGTATGTGGCTCCGGGATGGTATCACTGTGGGAGACAAAAGTGGAAGCCATTAAATTAACCTTCTGCAAGTAATGAATGAAAAAAAAATTTTAAAACTCATTTTTCTGTGCGACATGACCTCGTAGATAATCAACAGTTAATGAATACAAGGAAGGTAGAGGGTATATTTACTGTGCTGCTTTAACAGTATTGCAGTAATTATGGTGTATATGTGAAGATAGTGAGGTGGTTGTAGAGATAACTTGCTGTCAGCAGAAACCGAACCTGCAACATTTGCAAAATGCGACCAATTTTTTGCTAAGAAAGCTACGGCAGCAGTCACGCTCTCATCCACGTTGTTGGATCTGTGCCAACCTGACAGTGTCAGTTAGTATGGCTCGGGGCCAGGATGGCGAGTGTCGAAGACTCAATTTGTCAGCTGGTGTCAAGTAGCACGTCACCTCCCTTTAACAAACGGACGGCTTCCATACGTCGGTGCTCCTGCTTCTGATGCCAAATGAGTACCGCACGAAACCATGCTTTGTGATAACGCTACCATAAAATCTACGGCAAGTTCTCCTACCCCCCCGCAAGTAAAAAAAAAATGGCGAAAATAAGGGGTGGCAATCTCTTAAAACGGCACCAGAATTTCAGACGGTGGCAGCAAAGTTTTCTCGCAGGAGAAAAAAAAGAAAAGAACAGAGTTTATGTGGACCTCCTCAAAAGTCTCGCTCTCATTTGTGGCATGACACATAATATTCACGGCTCACAAATGCAACAAACACAATAGAAACACTATCAGATTTGTGCAAGCATGGCACGGAAATACTCGCAATGATGAGCAAATGCAACATTTCTAAGCAACAAACACAGATCTCCAAAGCCTCACTGCTGAAAACTACGTCATCATAGGTACCTTTCTGGAATACAAATCTGAAAGGCTTACGTCCTTTTGTTGTCAGGACCAAAAATCGTCCCAGTGCGCTAAGGTAAGAGTGCAATCACTATTAGGGGGGGGGGGGGAGGGTGAGCTTTTGATGACAAATTTCAGGTTGATTGATATGTGGGGTTTAACGTCCCAAAACCACTATATGATTATGAGAGACGCCGTAGTGGAGGGCTCCGGAAATTTAGACCACCTGGGGTTCTTTAACGTGCACCCAAATCTGAGCACACGGGCCTACAACATTTCCGCCTCCATCGGAAATGCAGCCGCCGCAGCCGGGATTCGAACCCGCGCCCTGACAAACAAATTTCAGGTGCAGGCGCTTATAAATGGGGCCGCTAAGTTGGACTGGGTGGTCTTCGAGCAGGCCTGTGTTGCAGTGTTCATTATGGGGGGGGGGGCATAACTGGAATCTGGAGTCTCGCAAGCTGACAGCACACCAATAAAGCGTACGTTTTTTACGAAGATCACCATGAACTTCCAGCATACGATTTTTCCTTCTCCACAGTGCTGAGAACTGCAACAACAGCACTAATTTTACTCTCAGCAACCGTCATTCGAATGATCTATAAAGGAATGGGACTTCCAGCAGTCGAACACGGCCCTTCAGACTCAAGTAAAATTTGGCGACTTTATCAGGACCTTTTGTGTTGCAGTCAGCACATTCGCGAACAATGTAATCAAGCTTTAGAGCTGATTGTTAGTATTCAACCTACGCGTTTATGCACGGTATCCGTTTCTGTGAGCCGCGTTTGGCCCTTACAGTGACGGCCACATGCGGACATGCGCGTGTAATCATTTCTGAAAAGTGACAAAGCGCGCTCTATTTGACACCGACGCATCAGCCTGACGGGCCCGTACACTCAACAGCATAAAAGCAAATAAGATGTGGCACATTAGTTTTGCAAGTTACCCCGTTGTTCAGACAAGTACTTTAGTTTACACATGGAAGCAGTTGCTAATGTGCATTTTTTAATTTTTATTTCAACTGGCAGGCAAGCAGCGCTAAATTAGCCAGCCTCTAATAAAAGTCACCGAGGAACAACATATACTCTTGACATGTGGTCACTTTTGTTAAGTTCTTTGGGAGTAAGCATGAAACTTGCTTGTTAGCATAGCCAAACATATCAATGCATTTCATCAGTGATACTAATCACATATCTCCCACTCGATAGATGCATTCTCATACATACCAGGCTAACGGGAACAGCACTGCATCATGCATTTCCACTAGGCTTGTGTGAATAGGGATTTTTCAACTAGAAGCAAATCGTTATTTCGGTTAAATAATTTGGAATAGAACTTGAATCGTACATATAACATAATGCCACATTCCCTCCTTGAGTTTTGTTATCGCACTCGTTATACTGTAAGTAAATCTCGGCATAAACAGCGCCTGCAGTGTTAGAGAAGCTTCATGACTGAAGTAGATCGTTTTGTTAAGATATGAGCACAGCGCGAACATTACCGATTATTCTGAAACCTACGTGAGCGCTAGCGATAACGCTGGAATATTCAACGGCACATGTATAAATGCCGACGCACTTCACCGCTTGTCAGCTGATCGATGGCCAACGCTCTGGTTGCTACTATCTGTGCCAGAAGGTATCGCTGTAATCCTACTTTCCGTTCACCGGTCACAAGTTCGGCCTAATAAACAGTTTCGTCTTGGACCTACAGTCTGCTCCCTTCGCCGTCATTAAAATATTATACAAAAATACGGGCATACTTGTCGTGACCTAAGTAACGCGCCCAACATTTCTGAAATAATTAAACAAAGCCTGTGCAAATGCCATTTTTTTTAGTTCAAAGAAAGTGGAAACAACTTTGAATAGTAAGAGGATCTGGCTATTTCAGTATAATGCAAGTGATGGCCTGTCAAATAAATTATGTTTTAAAATTACTGTACTCGGAGCATATAAGCCTGTATAACAAGCTTCTAAACTTAAAAAGTTATGAATTGATGTGAGGGTAGCATGTTGATTAAACCTTGAAGCGGTGCTTCACGGCAGTGTGGATGTCCCCTGGACCAGTGTTTTCACGTCCCGGCACCAACTCCTGCCGTGAAACCCCCTTGACAGAGGTTACGTGCAGACTACCGTATTTACTCGATTCTACCGCGCCCTCGATTGTAACGCGCACCCGGTTTCCACGATGAAAAAAAAAAAGTAAGACATCGATTGCAACGCACACCCATTTATCTCGTTGGCCCGCATGATCACACCACTCGGGAAAACGACTCCTTTCGGGAGCGTCTTCCGTTTAAATATGAGGTACGGGGGAAGCTTGGGCCTATCTGACGTGCAACAAAGCATTGCCGTCACTCTAGTTTTACCGTGGCCTGATGTCAGCACGCGAACTTGCTTCACCCCCTTCTCGACGGTTGTGGTACCAGGCATGTCGAAGTAAAGAGGCGTCTGATCGGCATTCCCGATTTGTCCAAGCAGGTAGCCGTTGTTGTGCCGCAAGTTTAGGACGAACCTCTGAAAACTGTGAGGCTTTTCTTCGTACTCCTCCGGCAAGTTTCGGCCCATGCCCGTTCGCTTTCGGAGGGAAAAGCCTTTCCTCTTTATAAAGTTAGTTAGCCAGCAGCTGCTTGCTTTGAACTAGCTCCGCGTTAGCCCTTTTTCTAAAGCTAACTGCAGCTAACTGCATAGCCCGCACTTGGAAGAGTTTTGTCGTCACGGGCCCCTGTGCGGCTCGCTGGTCAAGCACATACTCGGCGAGCAGCTCTTCAATTTGCGGAAACCGACCCTGCTGTGGTCCACTGAAGCCTTTGCGTGAATCTTTGCTGTCGACAGTCTTCTGATCTTGTTTCCGCCAGTCCCGCACGCACGTTTTGGGAACTCCAAACGACCGCGATGCGGTCGTTCGGAGTTTCGTCTGTTTTTTTTGTTTCGGCACACGCGATGGCTTTTTTTTTAAAAGCGGCATCGTGGTGCACTTGCCGAGTTTTTGGAGTCAGCCCTTCCATGCCGTCGATGCTAATGAACTACAAAATGCTGAACTCCTCAGCACACGTACGAAGTGCCGCACATGGGAAACACATACGCAGAAATGGCCGACGCGCCATGCTGACGCACGTAGGGGGCGGCCATTTTGGAAATGCCGATGGCAATAGAATGACCGTATTCATTTTTTTTTTCGTACTCGATTCTAGCGCGCATGCGATTTATGAACTCGCTTAAGGGGGGACGCGGCTTTGGCATCGCGAAATTTGGCCAAAAATCAATTTTCTGAAAATCTCATTTTCACATTCTGTGACCCCTTTTCTATCTAATTTCGAAATTTCGTCCCTGAAAACAGCGTAGAAATGACGTAAAAAATTTTTATCGAAGCTAGGGTGGCGATGAATTTCACAGAAATTGCGAAAAAACGGCGTTTTTCGAACCGCGATATCTCCGTAACCAGGCAACCTAGCGCCGCCATCTTTGTCTCTATGGATAGCGCGATTCTTCCGTTTCAAATTTTCCGCCTCGGCCGGCTGAACCAGGCAAGAGCAAGCCCACAGCAAGCCAAAGTGTAAAGGTATCACAACAATTTCCGATTGGCGACGCGCGTCACGTGACTGTACGGCGGCTCCGCATTGGTCGCCCGTGCGGTCGCTTGTAGCAATCGGCGCAAAGTTCGTCTGCTCTACGGGCTGACGGGCCGCTTACTACATTTGTTTTCAACTCGTCGCGGCGTGGTTTCGTGCGGTCGCTTGTAGCAATCGGCGCAAAGGTCGCCTGCTCTACGCGCTGACGGGCCGCTTACTGCATTTGTTTTCAACTCATCGCGGCGTGGTTTCGAGATCGCATCGCGCTGCGATAAGACCGGCGCTCGTGAAAGGAGAAAAACGTTGTTATCCAGTTTGGCGCATTGCAGTTTTGAGATCGGTTCCCGCATGCGATCATGGATCGGCGATCGTTCAAGAAGAAACGCAAGACTGCGCAGCGATTTGGTGCTCGTAAGCCGAAGCCGCCGATCGTAAAAAAGAAATTCAGTCCGGCAACTTCTGCGAGCAGCGATGACGGCATGCGGCACGACGAGGACTTGCAGCCGAGCACAAGCACGCACAGAGCATCGTCCGCGAGCATCGACAAAACTGTTCATATGCCTGTGGAGCAGTGCTTTGTGCTGTCTGAGAAAACATCCGTTCGTCGTTCCGCGCAGGCTACAGACATTGTGGATGCCCAGCCTAGCACTTTGCACGAGGATGTATTCATCGCGGATGCCCAGCCTAGCACTTCGCGCGAGGATGTAGACATCGCAAATGCTCAGCCAAGTACTTCGCGCGAGGATGCGAGGCCGTCTACCAGCACCACCAGTAGCACGATTCGGGCCCGATTAGAGCCTCGTTTCGTGTCAGCGGAGGCATCTCGCGAATGCGCCGCGGCTGTTCAGGAGTCCCTAAGAGCAGTGTCTGCGACGGAGCGCAAGATGTCACTGATGGACCAAGGGGACGAGAGCGACATCTAAACAGAAGACGAAGATGAGTTTTTTCCTCGTGCAACGCGCGGCCCTGAATGGTCTGTTTGGCAGTGCCCTGTGCCCGCAGTGCAAAGAGCCGGGACTCAAGATGAAGCACGGAACTAAGCACGGGTTAGCGGTAAAGATAGTGCTCACCTGCACTGCTTGCGGCGTCGACGCGAAAAATGCGTGGTCGTCGCCGCGAATGGAAAACAGTAAGTCATTTGAAGTAAATATTCGGGCCATGCAAGCTATAAAAACTATTGGAAAGGGATCAGCTGCACTCAGTGATTTTTGGTCTGTGATGAATGTATCACATAGGGGAATTCACCACAAGACTTTTCAAAGGCATCTCAAGGGGGAATTTCGGCCTGCTGGCATAGCAGCCGTGGCACGTGTGTTTTGCGACGCTGTTGCAGCCGTTCGCAATGTGTACAGCCAAATGGAGGGAACACCCACCAAGAATGTCACGGTGGTGTACGACGGGACGTGGATGACACCGCACTGCAAAGGACACTAAGGACTACAACTCTGGTGCCTATTAGGCATGTAAACCGTGACTCATGACTTTGAACCTCGTTTTCTCAATACTGTTTTTTTGGCATGTTGCTCAGCTCGTGGAGCAGATATCTTCGCAACTACTTGACAGATTTTGATTCTGTTTTTTTTGTAATGCTCCTTGAACTGTGCTTCAGGGGGCTGCGTTCTTATTTTTAAAATTTAGCCTTTTAAAAATTTTTGGTAGGGTTTCTTGTTTGTAGTGCAAATGTGCTCATTGAAGTATCAGTGGAGAAAACATGAACTACAAATTTTAGTGTTGCAAAAAAATTATTTTGAAAACGCAGCCCCCTACAGCATACATTCACCTCTGCACACAGTGTTTACCAACTTTCTATGTCATTTTTTAAACTCTCCAGCCGCTCCACGAGGTCCAGTAATGAAATTATTTGTTTCTCAGAAAGTTTTCATGATATCACCTTGAAATTTTTATGGAAGCATTATGAGGTCATTCTTAGTCTCTGTGCCATTTTTCATCAAGATCTAACCAGAAACAAGAAAGTTCGTTCCGAAAGGCACGTCCCCCCTTAACCGGACTAAAATGTGCGCATTAGATTCGAATAATTACGGTAATACACTTATTGGTTTATTTCTAACACTCCGAAATTTTCAATATTTCAAGTTCGATTCAAAGTGAATTCGAAAACTATAATATTTGTTTGAATATTCAAAGAATTCAAATATTTGCACAAGCCTAATTTTCACAACTGAACTAACTGACATACCATCGTTGCCAGCCATATTTAGAGTGGGAATGTCTGGAGACTTCATCATGTGGACCCTGAAAAGAGAACAAGAGAAGTGATTGACTGATTGATTAGTTGACACATGACTCATTACCAGATTTACAGTACTAAAGTGTGCCAAAGGGGCACTGTCACTTAGCGAGAGATGGCGACAGGGGCCTGCTGGTTAGCTTCGACTGTCCAAACATTTAGCGAAAGTTGGTGTAAATCTAAGTAGAGTAAAACCTTAGTGTAACTAATGCGAATATTACAAACCATCTGTTATAACAATTTACAGAGAAAAAAAGTTATGGACCATCTCCCCGAAGGGAACCCTGATGGAATGCGAAGCCGCAGCAAGGCACACGGCGTGGACCCGGTTGAAACGAGTGTCGACGCCGGCGCTGGAAGAACGATTCGAAAAGAAACTCAGTGTAGCGTTTACTCGAGTGAAAGTTTGTTTGAAACGCAAGGACATGGCAGGCAGGTTGGGTTTCCAGTAAGTATCATCACAGAAAGACTGTTCACTCGATGTGCACTCGAACGATGCAAGTGGTGGAGAGGGTGAAGCAAGAGAGACGAGACGTGGCGAGCCGCGACAGGCTAGGGAGAGAGTGACGTCAACGCACGAGCACTGGGAGGGTAGGCGCAACCTACTTGGCACCGCCCCAAAACCTGCGCCCAGGAGAGCGCGGTGCAGACAGAGGGACAGCGTTACACAGGCTAGTCAAACAGCTGCTTCTCATCTAATAGTCTTACCATTAATATAGTGCCACGCATTGATGTTCATAAAATATACATTCGGATATAATGAAAACAACTGATTGAGGTGTGACTTCTATAGAACGATGTAACTGTACACGAGTGTTGTCGCGCACTTCCTTCTTCTGAGAGCACTGTGACTTCAAATTGAAGACATGACAACGTGCTTGGCGGGAGTTCTTTATAACTGAACTGTTCTGGCAGGCAACGCGAGTGAATGAGGAAAAAAAAGAGGGGAGAGGGTAGCAGTGGGGTTCATTTGACAAAACCTGCCATGTCAGCACACAAAGTTGCAGACCTGTAAACTCCACGCTTCAACTTTTTTTAGAGCACGCTGATTTTCAGTAATTTCCCCAGGAAATCTCAGGCACAATTTGTAGTCACAACCGCTTCGTTCTCACCACCACACACTTGAATACCTTGCAAAGGCATTTTTGCATGTCATATGCGTACTTTGCTATCCTGCTAGTTCACAAATGCAGCCTTCAACACACAGACACATACACATACCTATACACACATGCCACACTCGTTAGGTTTTACCTTAGTAATCTATATTAAATTGACTTTTTTCAAAAATTACTTTGAGACATTTCACGTATTCATTTCGTTAGAATGGCTTGAGCCTGTTGTACCTCCTGGTGATGAGGGCTACCCTCACTTTCTTTTTTTAGTTATCTTCATATGTCAAAGGGCAAGAAAGCACGCGCACATGCACGAACACACACACAAACACACACATAAAACATTCAAAAATACTCAAGAAGCCTTCCGCTGCATTCGGGCATGGCCTGCGCGTATGCTAAAAACACGCCCGAGATTTTCAGCCAGTCAAAGCAGTTCACCACGTAGACGAATAATACACATTGGTCTAACACACGCAGAGAGAAAGAGGGATTTCTCAAATTGTAAGAGCTTGCAAGGAAGGAGATCGACAATCCACGTACCTGTTGAGATACGGTTTCAGGATTGGACTGGTCTCTTTCAGCTCAAGGGTGTGGTCCTTGTATTTACCTGCGCGTATGACAGGCCCAGCAGTAAACATTGACCAGCGCCCTCAGAAATCACGAATTTCAGCATTTCCATTGGTTGCATTACCAGATTAGCTTGCATTATACTCATACTTTCCGCTTGCAAAAATCTTGATGATTGATGTGTGGGTTTAACGTTCCAAAACCACTATATGAGTATGACAGACACCGTTAGTAGAGGGCTCTGGAAATTTCAACCACTTTTAACGTGCACCTAAATCTGAGCACCCAGGCCTACTGCATTTCCCCTCCATCGAAAATGCAGCCGCCGCAGCGGGGATTCGATCCCACAACCCGCGGCTGTGTAGAAACTCTACAAGCCCGAACATACATTATGTCCATATCAGTTACATGAATACGCTCAAACCTCGATATAACGAACCCGGATATAACAATATATTGGTTATAAAAAGTAAATGAAAAATAGTTTTATAATAGATAGTATTAAGAATACACCTTTAAAACGAATTTTCATATATACAGAACTTATTTGTGTAAGGTGCAACGTTGTTTTAATGTGATTTGAGTGCAGTAGTCCTGATACAGACTTACCGAGTTGGTGGCAGAGGCCCAATAAGCACATGCCCGTAACGAATGCATCGAAGCCGGCGTCGTGAAACTTGGCCTGGTTCAAATTGTAGCCATAGCCGGTCTCGGACTCTGGGACAAAAGGAGACAGCCAAAACAGTCGGTGGTGCAAATAGCTATGCGGATGCTAGGGTGAAGAATGGACCGCATTTTCTCACATAGTATAACCCGCCCTTGCGTGCCACTCACACCCTCCAGCACAAGCAGTAAAAAATTAAAGAAAAAAAGCTACAGTAGCAACGAAGCAATGCAATAAACACTCTTGTTTGGCAATGCAGGCATACAAAGCAAAGAAAACTCACAGTTTTTTTTTTTTTTCTAGAGTAAACTGCCACGTGCTTTTCTTTGATATTTTCTCTGAACAGAAATAGGTCTACACTACAAACTTGATATAATGAAACCGGATATAAGAAAATACTGTGGACTCCAATAAACGAAACTCGCTTAAACAAAAATGCCTCATTAACGTAACTAAATGGGCTCATATGGCTGGATTTCTAAGTGTTGCGTAGTAAAATTTATCGGTTATTCAAACCAGTGCTTACTGGTCACCTAGAGTTAAACGGCACAAACTCTAAACACAGCATAGACTCGCTCAGGCCAAAGGTAGTCTCACAACCATGGCAACACCTCAAGACAAGCTAAAGCAGTAGCCATTCTTGCTTGTGGTGGCTGTGTAAGCCGAGTCAAAGAGTCATTTGTGTGTTAGGTCTATTTGTGTGGCTAAGTGAGGTAGATCAGTGTGTTATTTCAGCCTGACGGAAAGGAAGCGGCCGCACCATGCACACTCGCTTGAAAAAAAGCTGCAAACTCTTCAGGAGCTCGATCGAAGCGGCATGCACAAAACGGAGGTGGCGAAAAAATACAACATCCCGAAATCGACGCTGTCGCGAATCTGCGAAGACAGACGAAAGATTGAAGGCGCTTTAAAGAACGGGACCTTTACATCTAAATGGATGCGAATGCGGACCATGCCTTATGAACAACTCGAAAAAGTTCTTTTTCTGTGGTTTAAGCGTGCACGAAGTTCCAATTTGCCCATGAGCGGACTAATTCTTGAGCAGAAAGCTCAAGAGATCGCCATGCAAATGGGTGTTGAGAACTTCGTCCTGAACGATGAATGGCTCAGCCGCTTCAAAACACGCCATGGCCTAGTCTTCAAAGCAATCTTAGGTGAGATTGCTGCAGTCAACAGGGACATTTGCACTGAATGGCAACAGGCATGGCTTAAGAAAATTTTTATGAGCTTTGAGCCACGAGACGCCGTCAACGTCAACGAGATGTGTTTTTTTTATACGGCACTTCCATCAAAGACTCTCACTTTCAAAGGCAAAGCCTGTAGTGAAAGAAAACGCAGTAAAGATTGCATGACTGTACTGGTTGGTACGATCATGGCAGGAGATCATAAATTGAAGCTGTTGATAATAAAAAAATCAAGGCATCCATTTCAAAGGCGTTCCACCTTCTCGTTGCGTACCATGCGAACGGACGAGCGTCGATGACCATGGCCATTTCCGAAAACTGGCTTTGGGAGGAAGACGCAAGATTTACGAGGCAAGGCAGGAAGGTTGTTGTCATCGTGGATAATTGCCCAGCCCACGGTCAGGTTGAAAGACTCCAAACCATCACTCTGGAGTTATTGCCAGCCGATGCAACGGCAGTGATCCAGCTGATGGATCAAGGGGTTATTCAGAACATTAAAGTTCATTATGGCAGACAAGTGGCCCATCGAATACTGCTTTGAGCAGACAGTGGGAAATGCTACAGCATAGATTTCATCCACATTTTGGCTCGTGCCTGGGAGCAAGTGAATCAACAACAATGGACAGATGCTTTCATCATGCTGGCTTTCAAGTGCAAGAAGCAGTACCTGATGAAGAAGAAAGCCCTGCTGATGCCAAAATTGAGGCAGTATTCAGTGAAGTCGTGCCCTCTGCCTCTTTCACGCTGCAGGACTACGAGTCAATTGATGAAAGTGTTCGTACCTGTCGTGAGGAGACTGTCGAAGAAATGATTGCTGAAGTGCAAGATGAGGATCAATCTTCCTGCGATGAATGTGATGACAGTATTGCCAGTGTAGTGGTGGCACCAGACCGATCAGCTAAAGAGGCTGTTAAACTTTTGCAGCGCTATTTTGAGCATAAGGCTTGTCTAGAATTTCTGGCTAGTTTGTTAGGCATGGGTGCGTACCTTGTGAAAAAAACAACTCAAGTTTGCCAAACAAGCCACCCTTCACTCCTTTTTTTCTCCTACCCATCCTCATGAGTAAAGTGAGGTTTGTGCAAATGGAATAAAGTTTTTGATTCACTAAATACATTTACTTTGCTTAAATGAAACTTCTGATAAATGGAACAGTTTTATGGATCTCCTTCGAGTTCCGTTTAAGAGGAGCCGACTGTACTAGTTATGATGAAATAAATGAAGAATAGCCTTGCACTAGAGATAGTGTTAGGAATAAACAATTACAACAAATTCTCAGATTCACTCGCATAATCCTCGGACCTTTTTTGGCGGAAAGCCGATGCAAAGTAGGGGGGTGCAAGAATTACGCTAAGAAAATTCCCACGAAAACGTACAGAGCGACAAAAAAAAAACAAAGTGGCCGCCAATCGGGATTCTCACGCCAGCAACCAACATCAAGCTTTGAGAAGTACTAATTAAAAACTTACCGTATTTACTCGATTCTACCGCGCCCTCGATTGTAACGCGCACCCGATTTTCACCGCGGAAAAAAAAAAAAAAAAAACGTAAGACATCGATTGCAACGCGCACCCATTTTTCTCGCTGGCCCGCACGATCACACCACTCGAAAAAACGACTCCTTTCGAGAGCGTCTTCCATTTAAATATAAGGTACGGGCGAAGCTTGTGCCCATTTGACGTGTAACAGAGAATTGCCGTCACTGTAGTTTTACCGTGGACCGATGTCAGCACGCGAACTTGCTTCGCCCCCTTCTTCTCGACGGTTGTGGTGCCAGGCATGTCGAAGTAAAGAGGCGTCTGATCCGCATTCCTGATTTGCCCAAGCAGGTAGCCGTTGTTGCGCCGCAAGTTTAGGACGAACCTCTGAAAACTGTGAAGCTTTTCATCGTACTCCTCCACAAAACTTTTCGCATATGCATGTTCCCCTTCGGAGGGAAAAGCCTTTCCTCTTCATAAAGTTAGTTAGCCAGCACCTGCTTGCTTTAAACTGGCTCCGCATTAGACCTTTTTCTAAGACTAATTGCATAGCCCGCACTTGGAGCAGTTCTGTCGTCACGGGCCGCTGTGCCGCTCAAGCACATACTCGCCGAGCAGCTCTTTAATTTGCGGAAACCGACCCTGCTGTGCTCCACTGAAGCCTTTGAGTGAAGCTTTGCTGTCGACAATCTTGTGCTTTTGTTTCCGCCGGTCCCGCACGCACGTTTCGGGAACTCCGAACGACCGCGATGCGGCCCGATTTCCGTCCGTCTCTGCACACGCGATGACTTTTCTTTTAAAAGCGGCATCGTGGTGCACTCGAGTTTTTGGAGTCGGCCCTTCCACGCCGTCGATGCTAATGCACTACTAGATGACGAACTCCTCAGCACACGTACGAAGTGCCGCACATGGGAAACACATAGGCAGAAATGGCGGACGCGCCATGCCGACGCACGTAGGGGGCGGCCATTTTGGACTTGCCGATGGCAATAGATTGACCGCAATTTTTTTTGTTCGTACTCGATTCTAACGCGCATGCAATTTATGAACTCGCTTAACCGGAAAAAAGGTGCGCGTTAGATTCGAGTAATTACGGTACCTCAACAATAAAAGCACAGGTTCAACACAAGGCAAGATTTACTTGAGACACAAAAGGCGCAAGAAAATAGTCGAGAATTAGAATACCGTACGCAAAGCTTGTGGGCGTTGCGGGCATAGAGGTAGCGTTCGTCGCTCAACAGGAGCCCTCAAAAGGTAAGCGTAGGACATCAGTATTGGGCTGATGGCCATTTAACGGAATCATCCGCAATTGCCTTCTGACGAAATAAAGTTTACCATCAATCCCAGTCTTAGGCACACGGAAGACCCAACGTGTCTTGGTGGCTTTCAGCTGCCGTCCCCAGTAGCGAACACCAAACTCGTCGACTCCGAAGGGCCTACCGGCGGCCCTGTTGCAGTTGTTTAGTGCATGATCAATCACTTTCAACTTGAAAGCAGCCGCGTAGTTTTTGTATTGCCCCATAACGTAACAACATTGCAGACACAACGTACGAAATAAGCCGCAACACCCACTTGCCACTCTGGCTTGACTTGGATTGAATCTGGGTGCAATAATAGTACGCTCTATGCTTAGCAGATGGCGCGCGCTATCATCATCAGTGGCTGGAATGAGCAGACGACATTATTGCGCCAATTTTCAGGGGTGCGATAATTACTCGAGAAAAAAAATCGTATTTTTGTTGGGCGATGTGGGGGGTGCGAGAAAAATTCATGTGCGAGGATTACGCGAGTAAATATGGTATAACAAACTTATTTTCATGTAGGTAATATGTACCGTCATTATAACCCAGTTTGAGTGTACACAAGCATAGATGACCTATGATGCAACCTAAATTTGCATGCCTTAATTGCTTACAAAACGAATCCCCACTAACTAGCATAAGTTCCCCTAATGCTGAAAAAAATCTTGCCAGGCCTGAACAGAAAACACAACAGAGTCAAAGCGAAAGCTGCTAAGGCAGCTCTTCTGAAGCCCACTGTAAGCTCTCTTTGGGTGACTACTGCAAGTAGAGTTTGCAAGGTACCCACTATGCCATATGTCATAACTTTACGAAGTATGGCGGTACCTGCTATGTCCTTCATCACAATTATACCAATAATTGAGGTACCTACTACACGTCTGTAAGGAATTAAAAATGTTTTGTTGGTGTCAATGAAGACAGAAAAATTGTTTTGCAACCAACCAACCAAACTGGCTGTTATGCAACACCTGTTGTGTGACACTTCGTTACTTTGCTGTTCTGCTACAGTACGTTACACCCGTTAAATTAATTAATTGCTCAACATGACACCTGTACAGGACCCTTGTGTGAAGGAGATTCAAAGACCGGCATG